GCAGCCAAGTTGCCTCAACACAAGCGAATCCCACCACTCAAGTACAAGTCTCAACGACATCGACAGGACAACCTGCACAAGGAGCAAGAAACATCGTCAGCTGCATGGCAAGATTGACCGACTCCTGCATCAGCGAGTCAACGCCACATTACTCACCGGAAGAACAACTCGACAACAGCACGCCCCGCCGCGAGTCACTTCAACCGAACCCGACGTATGCAGCTATCGCCCAAAGTGAGCCGTCCGGAAAAGACACTTGGTTCTTGGACAGTTGCTGCGGGCAGCATATGTGCTCTTCAGGACGCTTCGTGCAGCGAGAGTACCAACTCCAACGCGAAGTAGTCATCACCGTCGCCAACAACCAAAACCTGCGCACACGACGACAAGGCGTGGTTCAACTTCAGTCACGGGAGACAAACGTCATACTGCAAATGACGAAGGTCTTAATAGCAGAAGGACTCGGCTACAACTTACTAAGCGTCAGTCAACTGATGGCGAAAGGGATCCACCTCGAGGCAGACAGCTCCACTCAAGAATTCAAACTGTACCACGGGAAGGGCGGACTTTACATCGGGAAGGCAGTATTGAAGAACAACGTCTTCGTCCTCGACTTCGTCCCAGATCTTGGCACCGCCGACAGCGACGGCATCGTCAGCTTTGCTCCTTGGACACACCCTCCAGATCTTGACCCAGACTTCAGCCCCGGCGGTTTCTGGCACTCTCACACGATACCTGAGGCAGAACGAACAAGAGCGTTAGCAACAATTCAACAATCAGCAGCAGCAGAGACAACATCGGCAGCAGCAGAGACAACATCGGCAGCAGCAGAGACAACATCGGCAGCAGCAGAGACAACAACGGCAGCAGCAGAGACAACAACAGCAGCAGCAGGAACATCAACACCGGCAACAGAAACAACAACGACGTCAATCGTTGATCCTTCAACGACACCAATCCTTATCGACGATTCGCCACCAACACCCGCGCAACAGCTATCTCCAACTCAACGAGAAGTCCACCGAAGCGCCAACTTCACCACCGGCTTCTACTCCAACTCCGACATGTACCGACGCTCACCCGGACATCGCGCCAGCGAAGACATCTGGCATGCACGGATGGGACACCCAAGCAACACAACGTTAAACAACACGATAAGAGCAGGAGTGCTCGACAAAGATTCACTACTACTGCACGACGGGAGAGAACTCCAACGAGTCAGAGGAACATGCTTCACCTGTCCTGAAGCCGACTTACCGCATCAGCCGTTCGTCCCTCACCACAACCCAAGTGCACCCGCTTACGCACCACTCGAAAAGGTGTACAGCGACATCCTGTACAATCGCGTACCAGGACAAGGAGCCTACAATTACACCATCACCTTCATCGACGCCGCCACACGATACGTCTGGCACCTGAATCTCCCGAGCCGCGACATGGCTTTCGAAGCCTTCGTTGCCTGGCTTCCAGCAGCAGAACGAGAATCTGGGGTGAAACTAAAGAGCTTTCAGTCAGATGGAGGCGGAGAATACACCTCACAACGCTTCAAGGACTACCTGGCAGAAAAGGGAATCAAGAGGCTCATCTCCCTTCCTTACGCCCATCAACAGCAGGGTGTAGCAGAAAGGATGAACAGGACTCTCCAGAACACCATGCGCAAGCTGCTACGTGGCATGCGGCTACCCAACCACCAGTGGCCCGAAGCAATGGACCATGCTGTGATGCTGCACAACTTGCTCTCGTCATCATCGCTCCCGAACAACGCATCACCGCATCTGCTGTGGACAGGAAAACTGGGCAGCACAAAAATGTTGCGCGTCTTCAACTGCATGGTACAGTACCGACCCCCAGCTGCACGAGCCTGTCGATTCTCTCAACGCGCACAGTGGGGACTACACCTGGGCATCGAAAAGAATTACAACGCATGGAAGATTTTCGACGTTCACACAAAGGAAACAGTGGCAGCACGTGATGTCATTTTCTACGAACGACTCACCCTTAACTCCTACCAAGCCAACTTGGCAGAACAGCGAGACCTCACCAGTGGATTTCGTGGAGACCGAGCCTTCGCTTCGGCAGCCGACGAAGCTGACTTGGACGAGCAAAATGTGGATGGAGCCTCGGAAGAAGCCGGACCACTCCCATACTGCTGGATGGACATACCGATGGATGACGACAATCCTCGCGAAAGCGTCAACGCCGAAGTCTTCTACGACCTCGCCGACGAAGGTTACGTTACACCTGCACAAGCCAATACCGACGAAGCAAAACACATAGGACCAAACTTCATACTCGATCCAGAAACGGGAGACGAAGCAGTCTATCCCGAGGACACAACACTCCCCCGCTACACACAGAGTGGACTCCAGATACTCGGCCTCGTCACCGCAGTTCACGGCACGGCGATTCCTAAAGAGCCTGCCACAGTTCAGCAGGCTCTGGGGGGGAGCATAGAGAAAAATGGCGCGAAGCCATGGACAGGGAACTGAAAGCACTGGAGGAGCGCAACACTTGGAAAATTGTTCCCATCAGCACGACACAAAACAAGACAATACTCACCGGGAAATGGGTCTTCCGTGTGAAGACAAAGGCAGACGGCACCATCGACAAATTTAAGGCGCGCTGGGTCGTACGCGGCTTCGACCAAGAACACGGACGCGACTTCACCGAAACATTCGCTCCGGTCAGCCGACACACGTCATTACGAATTCTCCTCGCGATCGCCGCCATGAAGAAGAAGAAACTGCGGCAAATTGACGTCGCAAACGCATTTCTCTACGCACCTGTCGACGCAGAAATCTTCGTAGAGTTACCGCATGGCTCCAGCACGGACTCCAACCACGTCTGCCAGCTACTCAAGTCCTTATACGGCATTAAACAAGCCCCGCGGTTATGACAACAATACCTGCACACTCGCCTCATCCGCATCGGTTTCAAGCAGCTACCGCACGATCAGGGCATGTACCGGCTCACGAAAGGCACCGACTACATCCTGCTAATCGTCTACGTAGACGACCTTCTCTATATTGGCTCGACCGACAGTGTCACAACCTGGTTCGAAGGGGAACTGCAGAAGGACCTCACTCTCACAGTCTCATCCACCGTCACGCAGTATCTCGGGCTCAACATCCAGGAAGAAGAGGACGCAATCTACCTCTGCGTCGCAAAATACGCTGACACCATCGCCAAACGATTCGCACTTACACCAACTACCATCTCCACACCATACCGCTACACGGCAGGAAATCACAAGGAAGGCTCCGCCCTATTCAAAGCCGCCGGCATACGCGATTATCAGAGGAAACTAGGATGTCTCCTCTTCGCAGCTGTCACCTGCCGTCCGGATCTATCCTACTCCGCAAGTCAGCTCGCTACCTACCTCAAGAAACTTGAAGCGGAACAACTGGCGGAACTCGACCGCGCTCTTCACTACCTCGTCAGCACTCCGACAATTGGTCTGACCTACCATAAGAACGGAACGACAACACCCAAGCTAATCGGCTACGTCGACGCCGATCACGCCGGCGACTCCGACAACAGGCGCTCACGCACCGGCTACGTCTACCGCCTCGAGCCTATCGGTCCTATCTCCTGGCAATCGAGCAAGCAGGAGCTAATCGCCCTCTCCTCAGCTGAAGCAGAATATATCGCACTCTGCTCAGCCACCAAGGAAGGATTGTACCTTCGCGAACTTCTGGAGGAGGCAAAGCTGGCTCAGTTACCCAGCTTCACCATGTTCTGCGACAATCAATCGGCAATTCGCATAGCCAACAAGAATGGCTTCGCGAATAGAACGAAGCACATCGCCCTGCGGTACTTCTTTGTGAAGGACGAGATCGAGAAGGGGAGACTCGAGCTGTCATACTGCCCCACGTCCGAGATGGCAGCTGACTACTTGACCAAAAAGCTCGGAAAGCAAAAATTCGAGTACTGCATGATGCTGACTGGACAAGACCACGTCATCAAAAGTGACACTCCAGAAGCGAAGGGGAGTGTTGGAAACAATTGATTTAAAGCGCTTCTGTCGTGGCGAAACACCAAGTCACAAGCGAAGCAAAGCATATCGAAGCACCGGCGAGTCAACCCTCGGAGGTTGAAGTAACCGCTGGAGGTTACGCGAAAGTCAAAGGTCAGCGACCTTTGACCTGACTAGTACAGTGCGACAGCAAGGACACACAACTGACTCGTTACAGAGCAGTTGCCCGAGTCGTCACTGTATCGAACCGCAACAGCAACAATAAAACAGTTATAGCTGTATCCTTTCATATTCCTTGTACTCTTATATAATCTTGTATCTCTTTGCTTTAATCAACTTACTTTGCCCTCACATACCAGCGCAAGGTGGTTCAACAATTCCCACTAAGAAACGCTTCCGCTATTACATTGTTCCTACCAGAGTTTAGTCCTGCAAAGATCCTCTAAGGGCTTTTCTCAGCCCAACAGTTTACAGTTCAATGTTGCGACACACAAGAAGCGTTAAATCATTTGTTTCCAACAGGGCTGGCATTGGATGCGTTTGAATTGTCGAAAGACACCGTACTAGTGCAAAATTTAGGGGATGGGTGAATATTGATAATAATGATTAAAGCTCATATTCACATTTCCACAATTCACCGATGCATATATACTGATGCAGAAATATGAACCTTACACCCTCGTGAGGGAACACGTAATACAATATTGTTAAGAATAACCGAAAGGTAACACATTACCCTTATACGAGGATGGGTACCATACTACTTCCGTATTCCTGTTCCAAACTATTTCCAACAGATTTGAGTCTACCACTATGGCCATCTTTCCTAAACATGGCCGAGTTGTTTTCCTTTCCCTTCACAGTTGCCATTCCCATGGGCCATGACACGCTTCCACACATCAGAACAACCTGGTTCCACGTAACCCAATATAATGTACCCAGGAAGAGCAACAGTAGGTGCCTCGAGCCCTACACCGCAAGACCACTCCACCATGCGCATCCTCCTAGCCCTCACATGGCTGCTCGCTCAACCCCTGTACCTCGAGGCCTCACGGCCACCACTGGAGCTGCTGGAGGGGCTGCCTGCTGAGCGCCTCTCAGTGCCTTTGCTCTGAGAAGAGCGCCTTTGAGGAGAGCGGGAGTGCGGGGAGCGGGTGCGAGGGACGCGTTGCCCCGGCAAGCGCCTCTCAGGAGACCTCCTCCTGCCCCCACCTGCCTTCTCCCTGCTCTCACTCGCCCTCTCCCTGTCCTCACTCGCCTTCTCCCTGCCCCCATTCGCCCCCTCCCTGCCCTCACTCGCCCTCTCTCTCCCACCTTCCTTCTCCCTGCCCTCACCTGCCTTGCCCCTGCTCTTGTCTCCCCTTGCCCGCCTCTCCCTCCTCTCCTCTGCATCCCGCTCCTCCAAGCCTTCCTTCTTTATCTCAACAACTTTCCTCTCATCTCTCAGCCCCTCCCTCATCTCTCCACCCACCCCACCACTCGCCCCCTCCGCACACTGCTGCCGAGCACCACTGCTCTCCTTACCTCCTCCACCGCCCTGGTCAGACCTGTTCCCTTCCTCCAGACCCTCCATCTTCCCCTCCTCACCCACATCCTCCTCTTCCATAGGCTCACCAACAGCCGTTGCTCCCTCCTCTGCTTTCACCCGAACTTCACGGGTCCCTTCTTTCCTCTCGTCCCTCTCCTCTTCCCTGTCTTCAGCTGTTTTCCTCTCCTGACCATCAGATTCGAACCCTGCAACCTTTTGTTCCTCCATTGCCTTGGCCCCTTCCACAACCTCACCTCCCCCCACCACCTCACCTCCCCCCACCACCTCACCTCCCTCTCCCCCTTCTGCCCCCTCCGCTTCCCCTCCCCCCACTGCTGGCCCCTCATCACCACCCTGGGGCAGCATGAGCCTATCAGCTTCCGCCAGGTGGCGCTGCAGCGAGTCCGCCACCAACTGCTGCACCTCGCGCTCCTGCTGCTGCTGCCACTCCTCCAAGCTCTGTAGCCGAGCAGTGGAGGGGTGATGGACGGGGAAAAGGGGGAAGGAGGCGAGAGGTGGAAGGGAAATAAGCTGGGAGGGGGGAAAGCGGGAGGCTGTCATCAGCTGCTGCACCTCGCGCTCCTGCTGCTGCTGCCACTCCTCCATGCTCTGCCAAAGCCCAGTGGGCGGGTGATGGGTGGGCGGGAGGAGAGGAAGGTGAGCGGAGGGAGGGGGGGCAGGGGAAGAAAGTGCGCATATCAGTGGCACAGTAAGGGCCACAGCAGCACAACAGTGAGGCAGGCAGGCAGGCAGGCCAAAGAGGAGGGAAAGCAGAGCAGCAAGCAGGCATGTCCTAGGAGGAACATGCTCGAAACGGTAACAGGTGAGTCACGTGCTGGAGGATATGGGATCAGCATTCCACCCTGCAAGCCACGCCACCCTGCATGCAACAGCACCCTGCATGCAACAGCACTCACCTGCGCCTGTGTCTGCAGCAGCCTGTCAGTGGCTGGCGAGGGGCGGGCCGGCAGGTACATGATGGGTGGCGAGGCCTGTGTGCTGCAGGTGGGAGCGAGGGGGGAATGCACATGGAGGTGAGAGGGGAATGGGGTAGTTAAAATGCGAGGATGTGAGGGGCGGGCCGGCAGGTACATGATGGGTGGCGAGGCTTGCGTGCTGCAGGCGAGGGCGAGGGGGACGAGGACATAGGGGGGATGTGGTGGGCTGATGGGGAGGAGAGATGGGATGAGGAGGGGATGGGGGTGAAGAGGGGATGGGGGTGAGGAGGGGGTGGGGGTGAGGAGGAAGGGTACGGAGGGCAGGGAGAGAGGAGGGTGGTTGATACTTGATGGGGGAACTGGTGTTGGCTACGTGCGGACGCAGCGACGGTACGCAGTGGAGAGAGGAGTGAGGAGTGAGGAGAGAGGAGAGGCGGGGAGCAGAGGCAAGGCAAGAGGAGGAGTGGCAGGCAACACGGCGTGGTGATGAAGGTGCGGGAAAAGCTGACAGCAGGCCACGCATCTTGCGCACATGGACACGGCACCTAGGTGATGCAGGAACATGATGGGCGCGGCGACGCAGCTTGCGCACCTAGGTGATGTGATGTGCGGTCTCCCACACTCCTACCCTACATCCTCCCCTCACCTCCTTTCATGATCATCCTATTCACACCCACCGTCCCTTTGAATCGTCTCACCGGATGAAGCTGGAGAGCAGGGAGCGGTGGCGGCGCCAGTGGCGTGCCAGCAGCTGCACCTCCTTCTCCTCCGCCTTTGCCATCAGCCGCGCCCTCAGCACCTGATCATGTTCCAGTGCCACCCATGGGCAGGTGAGGCGAGCGTGGGGGCAGGCAAGTGAGGTAGGTGTAAGGGCAGGTGAGGTGTGGCGTGCATAGCACACGCAAGAGTGGAAGGTAAAGAGTGGTGGCCGGAAGAAGAAGACAATAATGAGGCTGACAATGCGTGAGTTGCGTCGCAGATGAGGGACGCTGAGACAACTGGAGCAAACAAGTGGCGAGGAAAATGTGCGGAGAGGTGCAAGGGGCAAGTGTGGGTGCAGGGGGGAAAGAGGAGGGCGCACGAGGTCTCTCTTGCGCTGCTGCAGGATCCTCTCCTGCTCACTCTCCTGCGATTTTTGAGTCGACTCAAAGATCAACTTATAACATGCACAAGGAGAGCGCCCACCAGGTCTCTCTTGCGCTGCTGCAGAATCCTCTCCCTCTCCTGCTCCTTCAACCGCTCACTCTCCTGTGCCACTCGCTGCTCCGCCTGCTCTTCCATTCCACCCGAACGCAAGGGAAGCACACAGAGCAGCACGGGAAGAGAAAAGTAACACATGTGGTTACGAATGGCCTCATCATCATTCTTACAGCACACGTCAATTGAGTGACATGCAATTCGCGGTATGCGCCCATCACCCCCGGCGCCCCCATCATCACCCCCATCACCCCCCATCACCCCCCATCACCCCCCATCACCCCCCATCACCCCCCATCACCCCCCATCACCCCCCATCACCACCATCACCACCATGATCAGCCGTGGCGGCTCACCTTCTGCTGGATCATCGCCCTCCGCGCCAGCAGCTCCGCATCCCTCTCCTCCTCCTCCCTTGCGCGCTGCCAGCCAGGGGAAAAGTGTGAGTGGGAAAGGGAACAAAAGCATGCGTGCTTGAAGGAGCAGGAGAGGGAGAGGATGCACACCAGTGTCAGCAAGGAGAACAAAACGAAACAGAGGGCAAGGGGAAGGTGACGGGAAGGTGAGGTAGGGGGACGGGGACCTTGAAATGCAGGGGACTGTGGAGTGAGTGAGCGAGTGAGTGAGTGAGTGAGTGAGTGAGTGAGTGAGTGCCCACCCATCCACCCACCATTGAAACGCCTATTCACCCGTGCATGCTGTCCTCTCCTCAACCCACCTGCAGCGTGCCCACAAGCAGTGCCTCCAGCATGTTGCGGTGGCGGCGCCATGCCACTGGATCCAGCTGCGCCACTGGGTCCAGCTGCACCACTGGGTCCAGCTGCACCACTGGGTCCAGCTGCACCACTGGGTCCAGCTGCACCACTGGGTCCAGCTGCACCACTGGGTCCAGCTGCACCACTGGGTCCAGCTGCACCACTGGGTCCAGCTGCACCACTGGGTCCAGCTGCACCACTGGGTCCAGCTGCACCACTGGGTCCAGCTGCACCACTGGGTCCAGCTGCACCACTGGGTCCAGCTGCACCACTGGGTCCAGCTGCACCACTGGGTCCAGCTGCACCACTGGGTCCAGCTGCACCACTGGGTCCAGCTGCACCACTGGGTCCAGCTGCACCACTGGGTCCAGCTGCACCACTGGGTCCAGCTGCACCACTGGGTCCAGCTGCACCACTGGGTCCAGCTGCACCACTGGGTCCAGCTGCACCACTGGGTCCAGCTGCACCACTGGGTCCAGCTGCACCACTGGGTCCAGCTGCACCACTGGGTCCAGCTGCACCACTGGGTCCAGCTGCACCACTGGGTCCAGCTGCACCACTGGGTCCAGCTGCACCACTGGGTCCAGCTGCACCACTGGGTCCAGCTGCACCACTGGGTCCAGCTGCACCACTGGGTCCAGCTGCACCACTGGGTCCAGCTGCACCACTGGGTCCAGCTGCACCACTGGGTCCAGCTGCACCACTGGGTCCAGCTGCACCACTGGGTCCAGCTGCACCACTGGGTCCAGCTGCACCACTGGGTCCAGCTGCACCACTGGGTCCAGCTGCACCACTGGGTCCAGCTGCACCACTGGGTCCAGCTGCACCACTGGGTCCAGCTGCACCACTGGGTCCAGCTGCACCACTGGGTCCAGCTGCACCACTGGGTCCAGCTGCACCACTGGGTCCAGCTGCACCACTGGGTCCAGCTGCACCACTGGGTCCAGCTGCACCACTGGGTCCAGCTGCACCACTGGGTCCAGCTGCACCACTGGGTCCAGCTGCACCACTGGGTCCAGCTGCACCACTGGGTCCAGCTGCACCACTGGGTCCAGCTGCACCACTGGGTCCAGCTGCACCACTGGGTCCAGCTGCACCACTGGGTCCAGCTGCACCACTGGGTCCAGCTGCACCACTGGGTCCAGCTGCACCACTGGGTCCAGCTGCACCACTGGGCGCGGAGGGGCGGGCACACAGCGCACTCACTTGCACCCACCCATGTCAGCACCCCACTCAAATGCGCCCACCCACATCTGTGATCTCACCTGCAGTGTGCCCACGAGCAGAGCTCCCAGCATGTTGCGGTGGCGGCGCCGAGCAACAGGGTCCAGCTGCAACACTGGGCGCGGGGGGGCGGGCGCAGGCTCATGGGCGGGCAGAGGGGGCGCGCCCGGGGAGGATGGGGGCGCGGAGGCAAGTGCAGGCGGAGGGGGAGGAGCGGTGGTGTCTGCGGACGCGTTGAGAGCGGTGCGGCGCGGTTCGATTGGGTCGATGGGCTCCCCGTCCGGCCCCACCTGCATGCAGACAGGGGGTGGTGCAGCAGAGGGGGGCAGAGCAGAGGATGGCGCAGCAGGGGATGGTGAAAGCACAGAGAGAGAGAGAGAGACATGGATGTGAACGGGGTTATGCTCTCTCATGCAGGCATGCACTGTCACACACGAACGCAGAGCATGCGCAGTGCAGCAGGGTGTGTGTGGCGTAGGGATAAGTACCCGCATTCATGCGCCCATGCGGCTTTGTGTGCGGATTCACATGCGTGCATGCATGCACAACAACAAGCGAATGACAGAGATGAGAGAACAACAATAAAACATTCCTTTGCAAACCTGCTCCAACCCTCTTGTGCCTGCCTGCCATCCCTGCCACACTCCTGCCACACTCCTGCCATGGGCTTTCATGACATACATACATTCATCACATACTCTTCCCTTCTCCCTTCTTCCCCCCCCACCACCACCTCTCTTCCTCAACCCACATCAATTCACCATCCACTCTCCTTCCCTCCACTCATCACGCGCGCTTCACCCCCCACCGCCCATTCTCCCCCCACCGCCCATTCTCCCCCCACCGCCCATTCTTCCCCCACCGCCCATTCTCCCCCCACCGCCCATTCTCCCCCCACCGCCCATTCACCCCCCACCGCCCATTCTCCCCCCACCGCCCATTCTCCCCCCACCGCCCATTCACCCCCCACCGCCCATTCTCCCCCCACCGCCCATTCTCCCCCCACCGCCCATTCTCCCCCCACCGCCCATTCTTCCCCCACCGCCCATTCTCCCCCCACCGCCCATTCTCCCCCCACCGCCCATTCTCCCCCCACCGCCCATTCTCCCCCCACCGCCCATTCTCCCCCCACCGCCCATTCTCCCCCCACCGCCCATTCTCCCCCCACCGCCCATTCTCCCCCCACCGCCCATTCACCCCCCACCGCCCATTCTCCTCCCACCGCCCATTCTCCCCCCACCGCCCATTCTCCCCCCACCGCCCATTCTTCCCCCACCGCCCATTCTCCCCCCACCGCCCATTCTCCCCCCACCGCCCATTCTCCCCCACCGCCCATTCTCCCCCCACCGCCCATTCTCCCCCCACCGCCCATTCTCCCCCCACCGCCCATTCTTCCCCCACCGCCCATTCTCCCCCCACCGCCCATTCTCCCCCCACCGCCCATTCACCCCCCACCGCCCATTCTCCCCCCACCGCCCATTCTCCCCCCACCGCCCATTCACCCCCCACCGCCCATTCTCCCCCCACCGCCCATTCTCCCCCCACCGCCCATTCTCCCCCCACCGCCCATTCTTCCCCCACCGCCCATTCTCCCCCCACCGCCCATTCTCCCCCCACCGCCCATTCTCCCCCCACCGCCCATTCTCCCCCCACCGCCCATTCTCCCCCCACCGCCCATTCTCCCCCCACCGCCCATTCTTTCCCCACCGCCCATTCTCCCCCCACCGCCCATTCTCCCCCTCTCCTCTCCCATATCCCCCGCCCCCAATGGCCCATACCCGAGTGACTGCTGACATCAGCCGCCGTCTCTTGGTGCCCCCTGCCACGTCACCATCCGGCAACGCGGCATCAGACTGTAGTAAGGGGGGAGGGAAGGGAAGGCGGGAGATGGGGGGAGGGCGCGGGGAAGGGGGGAGGCGGGGAAGGGGGGAAGGGGCCAGGAAGGAGGGGAGGGGGCGGGAAGGGGGGAAGAGGCGGGATGATTGTGTGTGGCTGCAGCACGGGGTGGTCGCTGGGTGGGAAGCAGCAGCAGCGGGGAGTGGAATGATGCGCGCATGGGTTGGGAGAAAGAGAGCGCACCCATGGGCGCACGGGGGCAGGGCAGCATCGCACACAGACGGCCAGCCGGGTGAGGTCCGGCCAGCAGGAACAACGATTCCGCCCCACCCAATCCCAACCCATCCCACCCCATCCCACCCGTGTGCGCCGCGCGAACGGCCAGCCGGGCCAGAATTAGGAACCAATGATTCCGCCCCATCCCCTCCCATCCCCCCCCACCTGTGTGCGCCGCGCGAACGACAGCCCGCCAGCGCGACCGCCGCCACCGCCAGCGCCGGCGCCGCCTGCGGGGTCGGAGGTGCCTCCGGGGTACGGGAAGCGGCGGGGCGCGCGGAGCGGCTGTCCGCGGATGGCGGGGGGAGCGGGCGGCAGCGCGCGCCTTATGCTGGGGGGAAGGCGCGAGGTGATTGTGCGCAGACTGTCCTCCACCTGCGGTACGCGCGAAGGGCGCGCGGGCAGGGGAGAGCGGGGAAGAGGGTAAGAATCGCGCGGGCAGGGGGGAGCGGGGAAGAGGGCGGGCGAGAGGGGCTGATTGGAGGGACGAATCGACGAGTCAGCGAATGACGGCATGGGAGTGGCGAAGAGCTGAAACCGCAAGTGGCGAGCGGGGAACGGCGCGGCGGGTGGGACACGTACGAGCCCGCCCCGACGAGCGCACCTGCGCCTGCTGCCGTTCGATCTCCTCGATCTCGCGGCGCAGCTCCTCCTCCGACTTCCCGCCGCCCACCGCCACCGCCGATCCTGCCATGGCGCCCGCACCGGCGACGTTACTTGCGACGGCGACGACTCCTGCGAGGGCCGCGATTCCTTTGACGAGGCTTTCGCTGGCGCAACAACCCTACCTAGATCTGCCGCGATCGGCGCGCAAACAGGCTGTGACACCAGCCAGTAGGGCGCGGGGAATGGTCCAGCGAAACTTGGCGAAATTGCACCCTTGTTCTGATTGTCACCCGCACGCTTTCTTGCTCGCCCCCTCGAAGAAGTGAAGCTGTGCTTGTTCGCGAAATCGCGAAGGCTCTAAAATTTGATACTATTTGTCACAAAATCTTTATCAAATTCATATATATGCACAAACCAAGCAAAATAACTTCACTCCATACATTTTACAACCAGCACAGAAAAAAAATGCCCTAGGCTAAGGAACGTGGGTCACTACCACACTGTCACAGTGCCTCCCAATGCCATACTGCCAGTGTGAGCCAGAGCTAGAAAGGGAGCAGGAGCATCAGATAAGGTCGGCGACGTTCATGGGCATTTCATCGATCTGTGTGCTGTAGTACTGCTCTATGTCGCGCAGAATACGGATGTCATCGCTCCTCACAAAGTTGATCGCCACACCCTGCAGCACCGCCAGTCAGCGCACACGAGGGTAAATGAGCCAGCATAAAGTGGGGTTGGGATGGCTTCGGGAGCGCAAGGAGTGGGGACGTGCAGAGCGAGGGGGGTGACGGTCAGGGGAAATGGGGAAAAAAGCTGGAGTGCGAGGAAACGGGAAGCACGGGTGGGAGACAGAAGCGGCGCTGAGAGCAGCTTAGGGTGGCCCGTCGTGGCGCTCACCTTTCTGCCGAAGCGACCGGAGCGACCGATGCGATGGATGTAGAGCTCTCGACTGTTGGGCAGGTCGTAGTTGATCACCAGTGACACCTGCACGTGGGGAGGGCAGGGGAGCATACATGCAGCAGCAGATGCAGACATTGAGGGGTGGAGCACATTGGAAGCAGCTCCCAAACCTCCAGGGTGTGTTCCTCTCTGCCTGCGCTGCATGTGGGCAAGGTGGGCCGGCCAGTGGCAGATGCCAGCACACATCATCCACTCGAGCCTCCATCCACCCACCTGCTCCACACCCCTTACCCCTTGCCCATCGCCCCTTGCCCATCGCCCCTTGCCCATCGCCCCTTGCCCATCGCCCCTTGCCCATCGCCCCTTGCCCATCGCCCCTTGCCCATCGCCCCTTGCCCATCGCTCCTTGCCCCTGGCCCACAAACACCAGGTCATCCCAGCAGGTCACAACCCCCCCCTTCCTCCCCCCACCCCATCCCAAACCTTCCCTCCATTGCTCAACCCCCGGCCTTCCCTCCATTGCTCAACCCCCGGCCTTCCCTCCATTGCTCAACCCCCGGCCTTCCTCCCCCCAGCCAGCCCCACCTGCTGCACATCGATGCCTCTAGCCCACACGCCAGTGGTAATGAGCAACGCGAGTGGTGCCCGTGCGAAACTCAGTCATGATGGCGTCGCGCTCCTTCTGGGGCATGCCGCCGTGCATAGCCTGGCCACACCCACCCATGCCCCCTCAACACGCACGCACCTGTTGAACATCAATGCCTCTAGCCCACACATCGGTGGTAATGAGCACGCGGGTGGTGCCGGCCCTGAATTCAGTCATGATGGCGTCGCGCTCCTTCTGGGGCATGTCGCCGTGCATGGCGGAGACGGTGAAGTTGTTGGCTCGCATCTTCTCCGTCAGCCAGTCCACCTTGCGCTTCGTGTTGCAGAAGATCACCGCCTGGTGGGTAGAATGGGGAGGGAGGGCACACAGCGCGGTGGCGGTATAAGGAGAAGTTTGTGCATTAGGCGTGCATTAGGCGTGCTGGACCACCACTTTCCACAGGGTGAGTGGCAGGGATGAGATGTAGGAGTGGCCAAGTGAATGGACGGCAAACTATGGCATAATGAGAGCGGCACGTGCCCGGGTCATGACATGTGAATGGCAGAGCGGCAGTGTTGAGTGAATTGATGAGAAACAATGGCATGCGAGAGCAGCACAGGCCTGGGTGATGGTGAGTGTGGCATGCACCCAACCCTAAACCTTAAGCCCCAAACCCTAATCCCTGCACATGCCTGGGTGATGGTGAGCGTGTCATAGAGGTCGCAGAGCGTGTCAAACTTCCACTCCTCACGCTCCACCGCCACAAAGAATTGCTTGATGCCCTGCCAGCCATGGGGAGGGCAGAGGCCAGAGGGGGAGAGAGGTGATTCAGGGGCAGTGAGGACATGTGGGGGGGAGAGGGGATGGTGAACAGAGAGAGGATGGGGATGCAGGGAGCCAGGGTGAAGGGCGTGAAACGGTGGGGAAGGGCGTGAAACGGTGGGGAAGGGCGTGAAACAGAGGGGAAGGGTGTGAAACGGTGGGGAAGAACGTGAGGCAGTGCAGATGAGCATGCAGGCGCTCACAAGCTCCTCGCCTCAACGCTCAATTCACGCTGCCATCCCTCCACGCCCCTGCTCCCCCCTCACACACGGTCTCAGGCCCATCGCGCTTCACAAGGATGCGCACGGGGTCTGTCATGACTTGTTGGTCATCTACTACCAGCATGGCACCCAGCCCTGCCCGGCCAACCCAACTTACCTCCAGCGTGAGTTCATCGCGCTTCACTAGGATGGGCACAGGGTCAGTCATGAACTTGTTGGTCATCTCCAGTGTGCGCCCCTCCCCCCCTTCTCATCCTACCCACCTCAAGAGTAAGCCCCCCACCCAGGTCGTACCTCGAGTGTGAGTTCATCGCGCTTCACGAGGATGCGCACGGGGTCAGTCATGAACTTGTTGGTCATCTCGAGAATTTCGTGGGGCAGTGTGGCTGACACCAGCACCACCTGTGCGGGGGCGGGGGGGAGGTGTGGGGAACGAGACGAGAGGGCATGGTGGGCGGCAGGGAGTAGTGGAGTGGGCGGCAGGGCAACAGCCAGGCGAAACTTGGTACGTGGACAGCGGGCGAGGGGGGGGGAGGCAGGGCGAAAAAGTGGAGGTGAGCCGCAAGGGGCAGCGCCTGGTGCTCATGACAATGTGGAGAGGGTGAGATGAATTGAGCGGGCTGGTGAGATGCGATGCGAGGGTGACAAGGCACACCGGCTGGCCCCATCACCCCAAGCCCATCAGCAGCTCTTGCTTGCTCCTCAAGGCAGGCATCTGCGCTCAAGCCTCAGCTGCAGCTCTTCTGTGGCACGAGAACAGCTCACCTGCAGCTGTGGCAGGGCAGCAGCACAACGCACCTGCAGCTCTGGCAGGGCAGCAGCACAACCCACCTGCAGCTCTGGCGGGAGGTAGCGGTAGATGTCGTAGATCTGGTCTTTAAAGCCCATGTTGAGCATCTCGTCCGACTCGTCCTGCACTCACCACCACCACGCCACACAGCCCCCAGAGGCGGACAGCATGAGATGATAACGGCAGGCGTGGCGTGGGGACCAAATGGCAAGGATAGGTACGAGGAACAAACGACAAGGACACGTGTGTACCGGGATATGCGAGGGGCGACGGGAGAAGAGACGGAGGGGCGCATGAGGGGGAGAAGGGGGAAAATAGGAGGGGGAGAAGGGGGAAAACAGGAGGGGGAGAAGGGGGAAAACAGGAGGGGGAGATGGGGGAAAACAGGAGGGGGAGAAGGGGGAAAACAGGAGGGGGAGAAGGGGGAAAAACAGGAGGGGGAGAAGGGGGAAAAACAGGAGGGGGAGAAGGGGGAAAACAGGAGGGGGAGAAGGGGGAAAACAGGAGGGGGAGAAGGGGGAAAACAGGAGGGGGAGGAGGAGGGGAGCAGGGGAGGAGGCCGGGAGAGGGAAGGGGAGGAGGAAGGACTTACGAGAATGAGGAGTTTGATGGCTCGTGTGCGCAGGCTGCGGCGTTTGATCATATCGTACACTCGCCCTGGCGTGCCCGATACCACCTGCCGTGCCGTGCCATCATGCATCCACGCAGACACGCATAGAAAGGGAGAAGGCCAGTAAGTGCGCGGGTGCGAGTGCGCACAGGGAAGGAGGTACGTGAGCTGTGTAGCCGCCACCCGCCACTCCTCCTAACGAGACCAGCCAGAGCAACCACCACCACTCAACCTCCTCCCACTCCACCTCTCTCTCTGCGCTGCCGCTGTCTACCACTCGCCCTATCGCCTGCACGCCTCCTCCGCACCTCGGCCCCACACGCAACCCACCACACCCACGCCGCCGCTCGCCGCCGTGCGCTGCAGTCCAGTCCGCGCTACCTCGCCCGCCCGCTTGTGCTTTCCTACCTGCGCACCGCTGACCCTTCCCCTCGGTCCTCACCTCCCCAACGCCGCCAATGCAGCGTGATACGAATGCGCGTCGCACCTGCACGCCGAACTCAAGCTTGCGGATGTCTTCCCCAATGGAGCTGCCGCCGATGCAAGTCCATCGCTCAACCTCACTCAACCTCTCTGCATCGCACCTGCACGCCGAACTCAAGCTTGCGGATGTCCTCGCCGATGGAGCGGCCGCCAATGCAGGCGTAGGCCTGCACGTTCATGAAGTCGCCCACCGCCAGCACCGTCTTCTCCGTCTGCACCGCCAGCTCGCGCGTTGGCGAAAGGATTAGCGCCTGCGTCCTGTGGGGGAATGGGGTGGGGGGAGGGGGGAAAGGGAGGGGAGGGAGGAAGGGAGGGAAGGGGGTGTGAAGGGGGGAGAGCGCGCAGAGAGAAGCACTGTGACACTGTTTTGAGTCGTCTCGAAACTCGTGCAGGCCGCCCACCGCCAGCACCGTCTTCTCCGTCTGCACCGCCAGCTCGCGCGTTGGCGAAAGGATTAGCGCCTGCGTCCTGCGAACGCGGGGCGGGGGTGGGGGGGACGGAGTGCGGGTGTGACGGGGCGAGACCGCGCAGAGAGAAGCGCTGTGGCACACGGAGGTGCGTACAAGGCGCGGAGAAGCACATGAGATACCGACGAGCGCGAGATCCCATTCGCTGCATCCAATTTGAGCCCCCATGCCCTCCCGAGTCCCGACTTTGCTCGGCGCGCCACGGTGCGCTGCACACCCCCGTCGCGATGGCATGGCGCGGCGACTCACTCTCTGGAGACGGTGACTCGCATCGACGACTTGCCAGACGGCGCGGCGAGGCCGATCTTGCTCGCCTTGCCCGTGCCGGACTAGTCTTGCCTCGACTCACTCTCTGAAACTCGTACCAACTCACTTTCTAGAAGACGCACCAACTTACTCTCTAGAACTCGTATCAACTCGCATCGACTCACTCTCTAGAGCTCGTATCGACGACTTGGCAAACGGCGAGGCCGATCATGCTGGTCTTGCCCGTGCCGGACTGCGCCTGCGCGATGACGTCTCGGCCCGCAATAATCGGCTTGATGGCGCGCTGCTGAATCGCGGACGGCTTCTCGAAGCCGAACGCATAGATCCCGCGAAGCAGATCCTCGCGAATTCCCATTTGCTCGAAGGACGAGAGCACCTGCACGCCCTTGCTTGTTTCGAACACCAGGCTCTCGTCGCCCGCCATCTGCTCGCCGCCGCCGCCGCGCGCTGCCGCCATGGCGGAAGGGCGGTGTGATTCGGAGGTGTGGGAGTGGTGCGAGACGACCGCGTGTGACGTGCTGTGAGTGCTGCTAAGACCAAGGGAGGAACGGAGTGGTCGCGTCGCGATGCGAAACCCTTGGCAGTGGATGCGATACGGGAACGCAAAAACGCGAAAACTGGATGAACTCGAGGAGTGTGCCAGGCCTATTGACTGTTTTAGGGTTTCGAAAGGGCATCCTCGGTGCGAAGGAGCTAAAACGAATTACAGCGCAAACTGAAGGCAGAAATGCTGCACACGAGTTATGTCTGTATAACGAGAACAACTCGTAAAAACAGAAAGAAATGAAGACGTGAGAGATACGGTAGCATAGGATGGATAAACTTGCTAAGTCCATGCCTATGTTCTGTTTCCACAATTATGTGTACCAGTATTAAGGATGTTGGTGTTGGGCTGAGAAATTTATCAGACTATATTTGCATAGGTGATACCATATGTTATACAATTAGCATTACAGACAAGCAGAGGGTAGTGGTAATGATAACACTTATGTACTGGTAACACTACTCTTCTAAGGTGATGTACCATACAGCAGAGAGAGCCCATTAAACACATCCGGGCACATACCAAACGGATCACTGAACGGCGGCACTCCCACCTGCTGCCCATCCGAGCACTGGTGCGGCTGCGGGGGGTGCTGGTAACACGGCTCTAACGGTGCCGGCTGGCAGCCCTGCGAGACAAAAAACGCCGGCCGGCCGAAGAGCGATGAAAGAAGGTACCCGAAGGTGGAGGTGGGGAAGATGAGGATGGCATCAGAGGCGAGGGCGAGGGTGTAGATGTCAATAATGGCGTGCTGCACCTCGGTGTCTAGTCCTGTTTGAGCTGTCTCTGTGGTGAGCCGGTCCAGGGAGAAGGTACCGTTGCTGATGATGCTGCTGTTCGTGATGTCGCTGCTGCTGGCAGGGATGCTGATCACTGTGCTTACTGGAGAGAGATCCTGGGTAGCCGCGCTGCTGTTGCTGTTGACGTTGGTGGTGGTGGTTTCTGTGCTTGTGGGGATTGCAGCAGTGGCGCTGGGATCCGTGGCAAGAGGGTCGGTCTGAGCGCTGTTGTCACTAGTGTCATTGCCACTGCTGTCTGTGACAATAACCTTGGTGTAAGTGAGTGGGGAGGAGGGAGCATTGGGGAAGAGCAGCAGCGAGAGGTTGTAGGGAGCATACTCATAGAGAGCAGCAATGAGCACAACCGTTGAGCTGCTCGTCCTCCTCACACCGCCTCCACTCTCACTCGTGCTGCCACTGCCTTCCAGAGCAGCAGCAGCACCAGCAGCAGCAGCCGCAGCAGCGGTGGCAGCGGCAGGTGCGCCCCCCTTTTCCAAAGCCAGAGCAACTGCAACGGCAGCAGCAGTCCCTTCCTCTGACGCCACACCCATTCCATATGCCGTCGCCTCACCCGTCCCACCTGCTGCTGCCCCACTTCCCACTGCTGCACCACCCTCACCCGCTCCCCCCACGCCTTCCACTGCCCCCACCCCACCAGGCTCCCCTCCCGCCTCCCTCTCCCCCTCCCGTTTCTCCCTCTCTCTTCTCGCCTCCGCCACAGCCTCCCCTTGGGCCACCTGCACCACACACTCTGCTGCCTGCGAAATAATATCTGTGTTGCAGTGCCGCAGCTGCAGCCCCACCCGGGCGGCGGCCGGCGCCGCCCGGCGGTGGATGTTGTCCGTTATGGCCGCCCAGAGGCGGTTGTTGGGGAACATGATGAGCTGGGAGACGGTCTGGAATATTCTCCCCGAGGGGAAGAGGTCTTGCATGTGGCGGCGGAAGGACGGGTGGTGGAAGAGCGAGGGGAGGAAGAACTGGTTGGCGAGGAGCAGGATTGATGACACGCGGGCCAGCCACTGCTGCTCTGAGGGGCAGAAGAAGATGCTTGTGTTCTGCTCCGTGTGGTGTAGGCTCACCAGTGCGCTGAGGGGGGGGTGGGGAGGGGGGAAGATGGGGAGAGGGGTTCTTGAGTTGACTCAAGAGTAACAGGAGGCGCAGAAGAAGAAGCTTGTGTTGCGCTTCATGTGGTGCAGGCAGGTTCACCTGTGCGCTGGTGGGGAGAGAGGTGCGGAGGAGGAGGAGGAGGAGGAGGAGGGGGGGAATCGTGCATGGGGTGGGAGCGGGGATGGGTGGGTGGGAAGATGAGAAGGCAATGCGATGGTGGTGAGGTGAGGGGGGAGCCAGCCGCATTCACACATGTTGGGCTCATTGGATATTTGATTTCTCAGAAGCCAACTGTCTCACGTGTGGAACTCACATGTTAGGCACGTCCATGGTATCACTGGTGCCGTTCTGAATAGCTGCGACTCGCTCGGGAAAGGAAAGTACTGATAGGCGATGTGCATGCCCACCAGGGTGGCATCCCACCGCTCGTTCGGCACATCCGAGTACACGAACCACGGCGCGCCCTCGAACGGCCAACTGCCTCACAGGCCAACTGCTGGGCTCACCTGTTGCACTCACATGTTAGGTACATCCATGGTGTCACTGGTGCCGTTCTGAATAGCCGCCACTCGATCCGGGAAGTACTGATAAGCAATTTTCATGCCCACCAGGGTCGCATCCCACCGCTCGTTTGGCACGTCCGAGTACACGAACCACGGCGCGCCCTCAAACGGCTGGCACATCAGCTTCGACGGTCCCATCCCCGTTAAGAGCAGAAACACCCGGTTCGTTAACAGCGCGTACACAAACGCGGACACCAGCGAGATGAACTGGTTTCCCTGCCCGTCGCCGGGTTTGAAGTGCCAGAGGAGGTATCTGCATTCCGTCGCGTTTCCCGCACGCAGCTTTGTCTTTAAAGACGTGATGTTCTCCTTCGTGTCGCACTCGCGCCGGTACTCGTGGTATGCGCGCAGTTTGCGTTTGAGAGTTTCGGAGCGAGGCGCCATGCCGCGGGTCCCCGCGTAGCACGGCATCTCCGCCTTGCTCCAGCACTGGTGCGCCGGGCGGTGGTAGCGGTGCGCGTGGTCCCCCGCGGAGCGCGCGAGCGGCGAGAATAGCGGGTCCGATGAGTCGCACTCTGGAACGCGGGGGGGGGGTGGGAAACCGGAAGGGACGCGGGGAGGGGGAGAATGGGGGGGGGGGAGGGGAGGGGGAGGGGAGGGTGGGGGGTTGAACGCGAGAGCGGCGAGAGAAGCGGGTCCGACGAGTCGCACTCTGGAAAGCGGGGGGGGAGGTGGAGGGGGAGGGGGGGGGGTGTGTCGTGGAGCGTGCGAGCGGCGAGAATAGCGGGTTCGACGTGCCGCACTCTGGAACGAGGGGGGAAGGGAAACCGAGAGGGACGCGGGGGAGGGGGAGAATGGGGGGGGGAAGGGGGAGGGGAGCGGGGAAGGGGGAGGAGGGGGGGGGGGGGGGAGCGGGAGAGCGGCGAGAATAGCGGGTCCGATGAGTCGCACTCTGGAAAGCGAGGGGGGGCGCGCGGGAAGGGGAAAAGGGGGAGGACGGGGAGTGGGGGAGGTGTGAGGGGGAGGGGAAGAGAGGCTGGGTAAAGGGATATGGGTTGGTGAGAACGGGAAGAAGTGGGATGGCAGATGCTCGTGCAAGCAGTTGCTACAGCAGGGCTTGCAGCTGTTGGATGAATGCGCGGTCGATCCACACCATGCAAAGCCGGAGCGTCGGTAGACGGCGCGACCGGACGAACGAGTACCGCCAGGACGATCGCCGCGACTAGCGACAGCAGCGCCGCGCCATGGCGGTTCCGCGCGCGAAACGCGCCGACGCTGCCATGGGCTCGCGAGCGGGTCATTCAGCGCGCTACGGAGCAGGTTAGGCAACGGGAGCGACACGGGAACGGGTGCGGCGGATTATCAAAAGCACTCTTGATTAGGACGTAGCGTTGACCAGGGTGAATGGGAGAATGCCGTCCAGTGAGTTCGCATCATGGGCATCGGACATGCGGGGTGGGTGGGGGAGTTGAGATGGTGACTGATAAAATGGGCTGTTACCGCATTTATTGGACGATTGCGAGACGATCAGCGTGTAGGTAACTGTTGTTACCTGACGAAACACGGTGGTAGGCGAAATTTCGGAGCTCGACTGTTACACATTCGCAACTATGCATGCGTTAGAAATCTAAGATACATGCACAGGCAAAACACCGCCATCATGCACAACCCGAACTCTAGAAAGTACCGTAATCTCCCGCCCCAGGGAATCTGCGTAACCCAATCACGAAGACAACCTAACATACTCATTCGATCTCGTCATAATCAGGCCCATCAGTTCTAATTTTTTCTGATCTCGCTCGTCTCCATGTCGGCCGCGCGGCAGCGACTGTCCGCTGCGATCCAATCAAACCGCCGCTTGATTCGCGCACTTGCACGCCCCAACGATCAGGTGATTCGATCCGCTAATCAGGCAAGTGGAGTGGCGAGGCAACGCGAGCATGCGTGTGTGATGAGGGTGGGGGGAGGGGAGAGGAGGGGAAGGGGAGGTACGTGGATGCATGTTGTGGCCGACACTCAATCGTGCCACCCACTCGTCACCACTCTTTCCCCGCCAGTCCTCGCCGCCCACTCCCCGCCACTCATTCCCAGCCCTCCCATCCCGTCGCGCGTGCAGATCTCGAGGTCGATTGCCCCTCTGCCCTCTGCCGCCGCCACCGCTCTCCCCGCGCCCTCGCACCCTCCACGGGCATCACAAGCGTCGCATACACCACAGGCGTCGCAGGCATCGCATGCATCGCGGGCGTCGCATGCGTGCTGCAGCAGCATCCATGCGCACATACACTCAAGCAGCGTGGCCGCAGCAGCGGCGGGTGGCGGGCGGATGAGGCAGGCGATGCAGGCGAGGGTGAGGTGAGCGGAGGGCGGTTGTTGGGCATGGAAGAGAGTGAGGTGAGTGGAGGGGGGCAGATGGGCATGGAAGAGAGTGAGGTGAGCGGAGGGCGGTTGATGGGCATGGAAGAGAGTGCGGATAGCGTTTGCCACTGAGGGCTGGCCTACACTGAGGGCTGGCCTGCACTGAGGGCTGGCCTGCACTGAGGGCTGGTCTAGACTGTTTGGCTTCCTTGGGAGAGGGGCAAGGGAGAGCAGTGAGTGAGTGAGTGCGCACTCGCTGCTGCTCACTCTCGCCCTCCTCTCTCTCGCCCTCCTCTCTCTCGCCCTCCTGACCTCCACCTCCACTCCATCACTCACCTGGACTACTTTTTTCGTTCCTGGTTTAACTCCTCTGCACTTTTCCCCCTCTCTCCCCCCATCCGCCCCGCGCCAGTGAGTGTGAGGTTCGAGCGCCACTAAGGGCGGGCAGCCACAGCATGGAGCACCTCAGATGCTTCACCGCGCCTGCAGGTGTGTTTCCCTCTCTGTGTGTTCCGACCCTCTTTATGCGCACATGTGGCGTGCGTGTGCGTGCGTGCGTGCGTGCGTGCGTGGGTGGGTGGGTGGGTGAGTGGGTGAGTGGGTGGGTGAGTGGGTGGGTGGGTGGGTGGGTGGGTGGGTAGGTGTTGGATGTCAGAATCGTAAAAACAGTGGCTGATTGGGTCCGCAGTGGTTGTAATCACCATCGTTTGCATCCACCGATTCTATAGTCAAGATTGCTGGTGAATGACCGTAAGGTAGAGAAATGCGTGCGTAATGACGACCCCAATCTGCTTTGTAGCTCAGATTGGGGTCGTCCCGGTTGGAGTTTGTAGATGTGGAGAGTGGTGTAAATGTGTTGGGCGGGGGGGGATGACTGTGGTTTGCGTTATTGTGGCCCAAAAATGCACGCCCTTGTTGGCGACCTCAGCTCGATGGAGCTCAATCAAAACATATACGCCAATCTCGTGTGCTGGATTTTTTTTTTAATTATTATTTTTTTTTTTTTCCAGCCAGCATTCCATTTGTTGTCAAACCAATTTGACGCGTCCAGCGTCCAGACGCTTGACACTTGAGAATTCAAGCATTAGGTGCAACATAGCCCACCGCATCGCATCATGCTGCAGCATCATATTTGCCATCCTTCCATTCCCATGGGGTGTGTGTGTGGCGTCACTGGGTGCGCGCATGGCAGCACTGGCGTCAGCATGGGGGTCAGCATGGAGGGCAGCAGCGGCATCTGAAGCACCCTCTGCGCCTGCCTCGCACGCCACACCCGAGGATGCAGAAGAGAGGTACTGCCGACGCGATGATACGCATCTTTCTGCAATTTCTTGTGCTTCTCCTGCCTGTCCATTCCACTCATTGCATTTGCGTGCATGTGTGTGTGCCCCCTGTGCGTCCCCCCTGCATGCTGCCTACACCTGCGGTGCACGTGCTACTGCGGGCCAGCATCGAGGTGACGTTTGTGCAGAGGGATGGCAGCGAGGCGGTGGTGCAGGTGCCGGTGGGCACCAACATGCTGCAGGCCGCACATGACAATGACATCGACCTTGAAGGTGCCCCTCCCTCCCTGATCCCACCTTCACCACAAGGCCCTTACATACTTGCATGACAATGACATCGACCTTGAAGGTGACGGCTGCGCATGTCGCGCATGAAGGTGCCCCTCCCTGCTAGATCTGAGTCTTCTTTTGAGATTTCTGAAACGTGCATGACAATGACATTGGCCTTGAAGGTGCCCCTCCCTGCTCCCACCTTTGGCACAAGGCCCTCGTGTACTTGCATCGATATGAAGTGCAACGCAAAATCTATGAGGCCCCAGTTGCTCACACTTGAGAGTGATGTGTGTGAGCGTTGTTCCTTGGACCTTCATCTGCTTGCCTGCCTGCTGTGTGTGCTGCGCGTGCCATGTGTGCGCCAGGTGCATGCGAAGGATCACTCGCCTGCTCCACCTGCCACGTCATCGTCATGGTGTGTTGTCATCCCAGTGCCCGTGCCATCCATCCACATACCGTGTCATTCCAATTCATAATTGGGAAGCCATGTATCGTTCATACATGCCATTCATCATCCACACATGCCATTCATCATCCACACATGCCATTCATCATCCACACATGCCATTCATCGTCCACACATGCCAGTCATCATCCACACATGCCAGTCATCATCCACACATGCCAGTCATCATCCATGCATGCCATTCATCCATATGTGCGTGCAATGCGGCCATGCCATGCGGAGTGGGCAGGACGAGGAGCAGTACAGCAAGATGCCTGAGCCAACGGACGAGGAGAACGACATGCTCGACCTCGCCTTCGGCCTCACAGAGACGTGAGTCCTCCCCACTGCATCCATTCCACCTGCATCCATTCAAGCCTCTGAGCTCACCGCTCCCACCTGCTCTTGTGTGCTTGTGTTGCTGTAGGTCACGCCTTGGCTGTCAGATCATAGCGGCCAGGGAGCTGGATGGTTTGCACCTACTGCTGCCTGCAGCCACTGAGGATGTGCGCATCTCCCGTCTCTCCCTCACCCCTGCCACCCCTGTCGCCCCTGCCGCTGCTGCCACTGATGCCACTGCTGCTGCGGCTGCTGCACGTGGCTCCTCCACAGGTCTCGCCTGGGATGCCAAGTGATTGCCACCAAGGACCTGAACGGGCTGCGCCTCAAGCTGCCCTCCGCCACTCGCAACTTTGCAGTCGACGGCTTTGTGCCCAAGCCTCATTGACCACTCCTTCGTGCCCAGGCCTCATTGACAAGTGGTAGAAAACCCCATGGTGGGGCCATTGTAGTTCGTTGTGTGGTTGCATTAGGAGTTCAGATGCTTAGCAGAAGACGAACTTTTGGTCGGTGGTAGTGCTTGTCGGAATCCGCACAACGGAATGAGTGTAACTATGGTAGCAGGAGATGGGTGCATATGGCAAACCGTAGAAAGTGTTGTATTCTATACAATACTGTCAGAATATTATGCTCTAGCCTGCAGTGGGGTGCTCTATAGCGAGTACAACCCTTCTAGGGTTAGCTATTTGTACCACCATTGTTGCTAGTGCAAACCCTCCTTTCTTCATTCTTACTTTCTACAGCTAGTTCTGACATGCTATCAGAGCAGGTCGACCCTCCTGGGTCGATCCTGTGGGTGGGCCCGCCACCTAATGCTTCCGCTGCTGTCCTGCTTATCGCGCGCCTCGGGCGCGCGACGTTTTCTGCCTACTGCGCGCTCGCAAGGCGCGGCGTTTTTAGGGTTTCGGCGGTTTTCATCCCGCCGTGCGCTCGGGGCGCGCGGCGGTTTTCTGCCCGCCGTGCGCCCCGAGGCGCGCGGCGGTTTCCCACCGTCGAAGTGCCCCCCGTCGCCCGTCGAAGCGCCCTCCCCCCGTCGCCCGTCGAAGCGCCCCCGTCGCCCGTCGGAGCGCCCCCCGTCGCCCGCCAAAACGCCCCCGTCGCCCGTCGAAGCGCCCCTGGGACCCGCGCGCGGCCCGTACGGGCTGCGCCAGGCCCGCGCGCGGCCCGTACGGGCTGCGCCAGGCCCGCGCGCGGCCCGTACGGGCTGCGCCAGGCCCGCGCGCGGCCCGTACAGCCCGCGCGCGGCCCGTACGAGCGGCGCCAGGCCCGCGCGCGGCCCGTACGGGCTGCGCCAGGCCAGCGCGCGGCGCGGGCAGCCTGCGCGCGCCTCGTCCGTCCCCCTCTCGCCGTCCCCCGCGCTCCTGCCCCTATCCCACCCGTTTTAGGGTTTGGGGATGTGGAGTGTGGGGGTGGCGGGTGTGGGGGTGCCGGTTGTGTGCCCCGTCCCCTCCTTCTCCTCCTCCTCCGTCTCCCGCTGCTGCAGCTGCCGCTCAGGGGGGTGGTTGTGTGGGGAGCCGAAGGAGTGGTCCTAGGGGGGTGAAGGGGGAGTGGAGCTAGGGGCGCAGCAGGGGGTGTGTGTCGAGGGGTGTGGGACTGTTGGGGGAGGTTGAGCGGAGGTTGCCGTCGTGTCGTACGCAGCGCCTGTACTCCGGGGCACTCATTCCCGGTAGCTCAGAGAGCCGGTTGCGCCGTCGCCTGTGGGTCCGTTGCTCCTGCCGCGCATATTAGCCGCGGAGCCTGTT